CCTTTGAAGCGTAAGTGTGAATGGTTCAAAGTAGTCAATTAACATCTTACGTGGAAAGTCAGAGGAAATGTCATCGAGACGGAAGTTGCACATCACTTGCCTACGATCAACCTTGCCGCCGTACTGCATTCTCGATCCTTATAAAGATTCACGATACCGCAGTGGTCTTCAACCTTTTTCCTATCATCCTTTCCAAGCCATTTTAAAAAATTACTCGCGAAAGTAAATGTTCTCATCACAAATTGAATTCATCAACTAAATCAGAATAGCTAATTGCATTCAGTTATTTACACTTAACGCTCAAGGTGCAGCATATAATCGTACTTGTAATCTTGCCCCCTATTTGTAAATACTTTCATGATATCTCAATAATAACTTTAGCTAATTCTCTGGGAAACAGCAGTGCGCTTTTAATATTTATAATAGGTCTCTTTGTAAGGATTAATGAACAGCTAGTGCAACATGTGAATTGCTGTAAGGGGAGAGTAAGAACGGATAGGATGAATGTTATTATAATATGAAATTCTTTGATTAATCTTGTCTTTTTAATATACCTCTGATACTACGTCTATATTTTATGAAACACTGTATAATAAACATGAGCTAGACAAAAGTTTTGTTAGAATAAAAATTTAATTCGTATACGCGGTGATATTGAAAACGTAAGCATGTTTCTAATTATTGTATAGCACCATTATTAGCACGTGCTTAGAGCGTAACATTAGAAAACTTTACCCTTTTCATTTCCTTGTTACTATCATCCAACACTTTCGATGACATTCAACTAAACATATGATCTAACATTAATCAAATATATTACCTGACATTTGATTAAAACCACCTGTCAGAATTTGCGTATAAATTTGTTTTTAAATTAGAAAATACCGGTGCAAACCTTTTCTCTTTAGAATGAATTATTGCACGTTTTTTTCGGCAAGTTCGAGTAAAGAAAGATTTACAGTAATTCTTAACGGCTGTATCACCCTATATCGTGCTATCTTTGATGCAATCGAGGAACTACTGGACTGTTTTTATCCAAGACAGTTGCGCTCGTTGCTCGTTCGTGTTATTAGTAATAGTTCAGCGCTGCCTGATACTAATTAGCAAGCACTGCGTTCATCTGTCGAGGAAGAATTAACGTGTGCCACGTGTAAGGTATTTCCTTCGATGCCGTAGCTGTTGCATAAAACCGAGAGAATTTTCCCTGAAAGATATGAAAATACCAATAAGTTTAGCATGTATTCCACTTAATGGTTATTGATTCGACTTGCATAGAAACTGACACGACGGTACTAATTTAACGTTATATAGCGATTAGCGACTGTCTCATCTCGAGAACTCGCAAGATTTTTAAATAAACTTTTCTTCCCTTTTCTCTAGAAACCGATTTTCAAATTGCTTAGATTTTTGATTTTATAAGAAAGTTTGGCGTGATTACGAGATATTGACGATGTAATCTGAAACTGAAATATGTTTTGCATTCTAAATGTCCTAACATGTATTTTATTTTTCATATTTTTTACACTTCTGCGTTTCTTCACATTCTTATAATTTTTTTTTTTTTTACATTTACACTTATCATAAGTGTATAAATATCCACAGTATAATAATAATAATGAATTTACATGTTCCGCTAATTACACGCATCATGTTGCAATTATTAATGGTTATATGAATAATGTAGGATTCAAATAAACAGGAAATGGGCATTGAAATAACAAACTGCTATATTTAATGATATAATTATATGTTACAGTATAAAGTTTTCTTAGTAGCAATTTATCTACCCCCGATAGTCGACGTGAAACAATTATTCTAGAACAGTTCTTCTAATGAATAGCCAGCGTATCTATTATACGGTAATTGTAGAGTGGTAATGCAATAATGGTTTAATCACAGCCCTTCAGTGTTTGCTTGAAATAAGGTTTCACCCCAGTGAAAGTTTCTCGACCTTTTCTCTGGTCTACTCCTCGCGCGATGTGTAATTCAATAATTATTTGGAGTATTTCACCCGTTTCGAGATTTAACTCCGTAATGATCGGTTAGGCGAATCGGATAATCTTCGCTCTTATTAATTTAAACCGGAGAAACCATCTTCTTCTACTAATATTTAAAATTATATTTGACAAGAAAAATAGTGTACATTAATAGGGTTCGTGCACTTGGTCTGATTAAACATGTCGAATAATGTATCAGACTATTTAATTCAGATAAAAAAGTTGTTCTTTATTGTAATTCAAACTTACGTATAACAATATCGATAATATTAAGGAAGTGCATATTTGCATTACGTTTCATGCATACACGCCGCGTATAGCTTGTATATATTCTGCATATTTATGGCACACCATACTCGCATAAACTTCCGCAATCTAGTGATTACATAGTTGCTCGTTCGAAGTACACGCGCTTCTACTATGTCAACATACTAAACGCGGCGAGTGCAGAGTAAACGCACTTAATTTAGACACTATCCAAGTCATCGACATCAAGTTTAATCAACACTAATAATTAACAGTAATACGTAGCAATATATTAATTGTAAGCTCATGTATTGCAGCCAGAGACGATCGAAATTATTATTTATAATTTAAGCTCTCTGTATTTGACAATCGAAGAGTAAATATATTTATTCAAAGTATATACGTTGAATAAGTTTGCTTTGGTATAAGTAACATAGGAATTCATGAAATAAATTTACTTTGGTAAAAATTTTAAATATATTCATCGATCCTAATTCACTTTCGTAAAAATAATAAACATATTCATCGACTAAATATACTTGAAATAAAGATAAAGTATCGTTATTCGATTGATTATTCAATTAATCTTCTTATCTAGCCGATGTTCATCTCTGGTTAGGCAACCATGTTATCCTCGTTAATTTCCAATATTGCACCACACAATGTTTGCTAATTATTTAAATTTATACAGAATACGCGTAATTCTCCAAATTCCTTCTCCAGTTGTTCCTCAGTCGTCACGGGACCAAAGGAGTTGTCACGAGGGGGAATTTGACACAAAAGCCCCGTTTTCTCTTACTTTCCTGCTTTACCGCTTGACTAGTCGTGCCGTGCATTACGATGCTGAAACATCAACGGAAACGCTCACAATCGGCACGCACTCCACGCTGCCGATTCTTTTGAAAGAGAAGATGACACCGAAGGGATTCGTTCTGTTACCGCTAAATCTCTGCTTTCTTCATAGGAATGTAATAATCGATTCCAGCCTTGGCTCTTGCCGCCTTTCGAACAAATTAACGTTTACCGGAGTCTCGCGCATGAAACTTACAGTACCTATTTAGTATCTAATCGATTCCAGAGATCGCATTCCTTATAGAATTTCTATACATTGCACTCAAAATGTTCGTGAATGTATAGAAGGAGAATGCTTTTGTTGGACTAAATTAAAACATTTTATTTTTATGAGAGTATAGTTAGAGTATAGCTGTATACTATGATATTCTTTTGAAATTGAAACGATTAACATGGCACATGGATACAGTAAATGTTAGTTTATTTATCTATAAAATATCTTAAAATCATCGACGTGCAGTACGAATGTACCTAATTTATAAATATAATTATATAAATTATATCACGAATATTATTTATAAATAGGTTGGAAAGTATGGGTCCGATTATTTCAAATTCAAACACCATGCGTATAATATCTTATCCCAACACACGAAGATGTTTAAAGAAAAGTGACTAGATCATTCTTTTGTCCATCGTTCCGATCGATAAAGATTCTCGAAACGTGCAAACTGCAGGTCGAAAGATTGCAGAGATCCGCGGAAGCGCCTTCGTCCGCCTTACAAGAGAAACGGACGGATATTAGGCCCCAATAACCTGATTCTCGTCGCTTTATTCTCATCGCGCGTACTCGGACACGTTGTTTTTTAGCGTTCCCCCAGACATCTTAAAGGCCTATCAATTACTTATTACGCGTCGGTTTGAACGAGCATCGGGGCATGTGAAACGCAGCCTCCGGACCTTTCTAGCTAGCTATGATTAATTGGCCGCAGATGCTTCCTGCGCGAGAATTGCTCTTTTCTTCTGTTTTGACTTCTTCTTTCGTAGAAGCGAAAACTGACGAAACACGCGCGTTCCGCTGTTTCCAGATCGGGTAGATAAGCGAGTCCGCGGGGAACACTTTATTTCGCACAGTAATTACGTGTCAGAAGCAGTGTCTGCTTTCTGTGGCCGTCGTATTGCGTCACTGATCCTAATTGTTCTCTTTTTGGGCAAATGTAAGTATCATTGAAATATTCGAAAACGCGCTGTTATGTTAAATGGGCTTTGGTTATAATTGGTTGACAAATAAAATATACACGATGTGTATACATATATAAAACTTTACTTAGGTACGAAAAACTTGACAAAATTTCTGCACCAACGTTTCGCTTTTTGTGTGCATCGAATGACACTCGTCTTAAAACTAAACTTCGCTTTCGCCAGGAGTACCCACTGGCACCAGACTTTCTTTCAAAAGCACGCAAATTCCTGCTTAATGACCGGACCTTTCCGGCGAGCCTTTTTCCTAGATACCTGGAAGGTCCGAGCGCTAAAACATTCTTCACGTACTGTCGCCGGAAGGGATCTTGTGGTTCTTCCAATTTGGAAAAAACCGCGTAGCAAACATTAAGTCATGGGGCCCCGGGGTGTAACGTGGGCATGTAGACTTTAGACCCGCGACACCCCTGTCGTCCTACGGATCAGTTACCTGACCCAATAAAGCAATAACTACTGTTTCGGTTTACGACCTCACAAGATACCTTCCAGTGACTATACGCGATCCGGAAGGCATACTCGCTTCCACTCATTTCGATATTTAACACGCGTTGTGTCGAAATCAACAGTAGATATTAGAACGTTTATGGATTTGTTATGATTCATTGGAAGGGAAGCAGATATTCTGGATCTATAATGTCTTACTTCTATCTATCTCTTAAATCCCCGTTTGCAAAATTCTTTAACTTTTCTGTCTGTTTCGAACAGTGTGGCAGCGCCGTTGGCTCGACGGAAGGCGTCGTCGGTAGCGTTGGCGGTAGCTGCAGCGGTGGTAACAGCAGTAGCGGCGGTGACATGGATTGCATGCCTCTGCGTCCAGGGCCGTTTCACTACTTGATAAGCGAGCAGGCGAAGTCCTTGGTGGCCCTTCAGGAGCTGCAGAATGAGGTCGGCGCCCTACTCGAATTCCGGGACCTCGTCATCGAGACGTTCCCAAACCTCCGGCACAAGATGGCCGCGACGGCGTCAGCGGGAGCGTCCGTGATGTCGTCCACCTGCGCCCAGAACTCCCACATCCCGTTGCCGCTCTCCAGTCCATCGTCGAGGAGGATCAACGAGTGGGAGCCTGGAAAGGTCAGACGCCGTGTGCCCCGCGAAGGTGGCGAGTCCTCGTCGTCCTCTTTGCCCAGGAGTCGCAGTAACTCGCACAGCGGCGGTACCAAGAACAACCACAGCGCCACGGTACAGGATTCTGGCTTCAGCACGGAGACGTCCTCGAAGGACAGCGCCTCGACGGCGATAGCACCTAGGCCGAGCAGTCCTCGGCCTGCCGTCTTGGACGAGGCCGAGGACGAGCTGTGGAACCTCTTAGATGTGATCCATCGCAAGGGGATCAGGCTCAGAGAGGAGGTGGAGTGTCTTCAGGGTCGATTGGAGAGCGTGGCGCCCGAGGATCTAGCGTCGACGGACATCCTAGACGCTGTTAGGGAGGTTACGTGTTTGAACGGTGAAAGGACTACGATAACGATAGAGGACGGGAAGGATGAGAAGGAGAGAGATTCTCAAGTGATCGCGCTTAGAAGAGAGAAGGAGCAGCTTCTCGATAAGGTGGCCGAACTCGAGGCTGAGACTATATCGAGTCGAGCTAGGGCGCAAGAGCTCCAATCGGAGCTTGCCGCGCTCTCTGCGTTGAAGACGGGCCTGGAGGATAGATTGAGGGCAGGACTGAACGAAACTTCCTCGGATATCCTCGCACCAGGCGCCCAGCGGCTGCAACCGATCGCACCCGCGTTGCCAGTCGTTTCCTCGCCGAAGAGCAACAGCGTTAGTAACATTAAGAGCAAGTCTTCGGCGTTCGCGTCGGTGGCGACGTCCGCGAAGGCTCACAAGAACCGTTTTCGGACGAGGACCATCGAGAAGAACGTTCTGTTGGACGTCACCGCCCATAACGAGGAGTTGCGCGACATCGACATCGAGGCCAGCGTCAACGAGAGAAGAGCAAGGTTGGGTGCGTTGGATTCCGTCCTCGTGTCGCCCATGAGGATCGGCCACGTCAAGGACGTCGATTCAAACAAGATCGCTGCCATTCTCCGCGAAAACTCTCCTCTCGAGCTCCAGCGGCATTTGATCACCACTACCGTCCACAACGATGTGAGTTTCCATAGCTGCAGACACTTTTGATTATACTTGGCTAACTTATAGGCCTTTCTTCAATTTTTAGATAACCAGGAAAATAATTAAACGCTTTGAAAAATAGTATGAAACAAACCTGGTTGTAATCCTTGCTTTGGTTATTAAACAGGGAGGGTATTTCGGGGGAATCTCAAGGAGTATCATAGAATTATGTCTATTTGAAACATGCCATTCTCATTTTATCAGTAGTCTAGAGTCATGTTTATTTGAAACCTGACCCCGACGTTTAACCTATATTTTCTTTTTCATCAATCCGATTGGCATATTAACCAAAGGTCAAAGTTAGTTTCCAAGTATAAAAGTTTGACGTGGCTTTAATTGAATTCGTTTCTGACAGTCGTTCGGAAATCTATGGAGGTGGTTTTAAAAGAATACATTGGTAAATTACAGGTCCTACAAAAGAGGTTAGACGAAGTACAGAAAAGCACGGAAACTCTCTCTGAACGGCTGGATAAAGTATGCGAGGAGAATGACGACCTACGTTTCCAGGTAATTTGTACGATAAGATAGGCATAACAAATATCTTTTTTTACACAAACAGTCACGAAAGCGTAGATTTTTAACGATCGTGTAACGATCGTGTCTAATTTAAATGAATGATGATTTCAAGCAACGTAATTCCAAGGCATCTCGTACATACGTTTGGCATGTTTATCCGTATTTCAGCTGGAGGAGAGAAATATCCAGTTGGAGGGTACGCGGGCCCGCGTTCGGGTGCTCGAGAAGCTCCAGCAGCGGACTCCGACGGAAACGGATCCAGATATGGACGGAGACCAGCCTAGATGCGAGCAGATCGGTCTCGAGCCTGGGAGCAGCACGGAGTCGGCCCGCGACCATCACCAAACCGTCGAGGTGAAACCGTCGCCTCGGCGCCGTCCTAGTCGTATACCCTTGCTCGGTGCCACGGCGAAGGCAACCGCTCCCAGACCGCCTAGCCACGGAAGGAACGATAGCAGAGAATCGTTGAAGTCGTTGACGAGACCTCCGCGCGATTCTAGTCGCGACAGTCACGGTGGCAAGTCTCTGTCCAAGGCTCGCGACTCCGCGCGAGACTCGCTCGGGAACAAAAGCCTGACGAAGAACGGTAGCAACAGCAACATCGGGGCCGGCAATAACAACGGGAACGGAAACAGCAAGGAGACGAACAGGGAGTCCCTGAACAGGTCCCTGCCGCGTAACAATTCCAGCCGAGACTCCTTAAACAAATCCTTCTCGCTGTCCCGCGCCCGTGACTCGCTGGAGTCTAACAACCTCGGCGCGTCCTCATCCCCGGGGACGACTCCTCCTCGACGACCGCCCGCTCCTGCACGCCGTCCCCACAGCCAGGTCCGCGCGTCAACATCCGTTGATACAGAGAACAGCAAGGTACGACAATCCGCAAAATACTTTTGGAACTGGCTGAAGTCTCCCAAAGTAGAGAGTCCATCGCATCCTCTTCTCCAGGACGGCCGATAGTCGCTGTTAGGGATATCTGCTACTTCTAATCGAGCCCCCCCCCTCGACTCGAATCCACCCTCTCTCACGCATCTCGGACCTCCTTAATTTTCATCCATCTCGACACGCAGACTCGTGCTCACCGGAACGGTCCGTTAACGCGACGGGGAACCATCGCTGCTGTACGATACTTTTACGGTCAATTCGATTCTTTTATATCGATGCAGCTCTCGCTAGTCCCACTATCGGTACCCATTGCTGGGCCGTTCGCTCTATATAAAGTGTAACCGATTCGATCACGACTGGTTCTCCCGATTTCGATCTCCGCGCGTCACACTACTCGCGATCGTGCTTGTTAAACCGTTTCCGTTCTTCTCTGTCGTCGTTCTCATCCGCGGCTCCCTCGTCTATATCTCCTCGAGTATCATCCCAAGCGATGTTCGATTCGCAGACGCGGTGACATTCTTCGGAAAATGGAATCGTTTCCGATGCAACACCCTCCCACCACGACATGATCATTCCTGAAATCGTTATTTACACTCTGACGTACGCAGAGACTATCAACCGACACTTGCCTTAAAAAACGACGAATCGCCCGACGATCCACTACCAAAATGTCTGATCTGGAGCGCAGGCGAGCGTGCGTTCGAGCCCGTCCCCGGCGGTCCAATAAAGAACATGGCCCCTTCTCGCGTGCCGCCGGTTTTTCTCGTAAGTTATGCTTCTTTTATTATCATTTGCTTCGATGCTTCTTCCTGGATGTGGTGAGCTGTGAGCCTATATTTTTTTTTTTTTTTTGTTTATCCTGGTCTTCCTTTTTCTCGTCTCCGATCAGTAGTGTACCAACGTAGTTTACCCTAATCACCTGGAGTTTGGCATGCGCACGCACCCGTAGTGAGCCTCCCCCTGATATCCAGCCGAATCATTGGAATTGGTCCGTACAGTGCCAAGCGTATGATTACGTTTCCTCCTTCCAATAAAAAAAAGAAATTGGCGATTCTGGTAAGCAATTTTAACGTGTAGTTGGTGGAACAAATATAGCGAGGTACTCGAATCGTTTGTTAAACGATGCGCTTGTTGGACTCAAGTGGACGAATGTGTTGAATTGGCTGTTGAAAGGAGTTCGTTGGATAAGGTAGGTGGTGCCTGTAAGAATCTTTAAATGTTCAAATTAAACTAATTATTTATTAAATTTGAGGGAAGGAACTCAACCTTCCGATTGTCACGAATGTGGATTCGATTTTTTGAGACAGGGAAGTTTAAGTATAAAATGTTAGATTCGTTTTGAAAAGAGATAAGGTACCTCTTCACTTGAACAAAATGTAGAAGTGCCAGATTGCATGAACGGGAGCATGGATACTTGTTCTCGGAACTAGTTCCACTCAAAGGGCCCATTTGAACTCAGCGAATTAAATAGAGAGGATCATTTTTAATTTGAATTTATTTCAATAATTTCTGAGGAAGCTTCTATAGTGTATAATTAAGAATAGTCCAAATAGGGTCGTGAGCAGATTTATTTACATGGGAGAAAACTGGTGTATCCTCTGATAGTTAGCTGTGAAAGAATTTTATCTTTGATAACCTTTTTCCACGGATATTCGAGAATATTTTTAAATACACCTGATCTTACTTGCTGTAGTTTTTCTACTGACATAGTTATTGTATAATAACGTCCATTTTTAAAAATTGACATTTCACACTATCAAGCAATGCAGTTTCACAGCATATACAAAATCAATAATACAAAATAAGCATATACAGTCTTTGATCTTACACACTTTCAAATAAAAAATTCCATAAAAATGTTATAGTTTACACAGTGTAACACACTGTGTAATCTAGTAACAACATACTGAATGTAACATAGGATATTTTTGTTCTTCTTAAAGAAACTGTTATTAATATCGATCAAAATCGAATATCACTTCTCTTACCGCTTGTCATGATTCATGACAACATGCTACACTGTAATACTGACAAAAACAATACCAAACTGTTTTTCGCATATCAGCATGACATCAAAGATCCCATGCTGCTTACTATGCATAAAGTCTGTCTATTTTGCAAAGGTCCTGTTCGTCCTTGAACCGTTGATGGCTTACAATCAGGGACACCTCAAGGACACTACACGATCTCACTATATTCTTTCCACCAAGTGTTGTGCCACCTTCTTACTCGATCGCACTACTATATCGAGAGGTCGCGAGAGTAAATTGAAAAGCAAATTCCATTGGAAAATAACACGATAAACGTAGTATAACTCTGGTAGAATTTGAAGTCTCTTAGAGAAGCAAAACTGATCTCTCACCATTTGGCTTCGGGACTCTTCGCATACTCGAGTAGAAGAATTAACGGTTCTCCAACTACCATTACCGATACACCACTTTGACGAAGAATTCTTCCACAGCATTAACGACAAATCTAATCTCTCTCTTACTTTTACTCATACTATCGTAGTGTTACGTATGTTTGCAACAGAAATGCATGCATATTGATACAGAAGGCTCTGTCGAATCTTGCGAGCCTATTGACTCAGGTGCGCTCGACGTTTGCCATGATTAAGCAATTAATTTCCCGCAGTGGCAATCTGCTCGTCCCGCGGTGGCAAATATTAAATCAGGATTCAAGCTGTCGAACGTTGATTAAAGGAATTGGCGTGTAACGCGGCAACATCTCGACTCGTACGATTATTCGCGTTGGCAGTAAATCACAAGATTCGACAGATCGTTTTGCCACGAAGCGAAACACGGGGGATAATTTCTCCCTCTTCGACTATCCTCACGTCCGTTCCCTTTTATTCTCCGTTCCGTCCGTCGTATCATTACCCCTATTACTATTACGTATGAGAAAGAAATGAGCAATTTATTTAGCACGCACGTCCAGCCACGATATTACCGTAAATTTTCACGCCGTGTACTAGCGGAGCTCCCTTGTTTTGGATCACCATTAATCTTTCAACTTTGTTTGCTCTTTCATTTGCTGAAGTTTGATCTTATTTGCTAGCGTTGCTTGTATGCGGACATAGCCTCGAGAGCCGTGACGTGGCCCGGAGTCGCACTTATAATGATCGATGTAAAGGAAAATGAATCGACCACACGCTTACCTGCTTGGCCTTGCGGTTCATTGTCCATCTCACGTCCAGTGCTACGCGTTACCGCGAATTAAAGGCTAATTTATGATGTCAAATCTCAGTCATCTCGAACTTTGCAGTGGCGAGGGTTTCGCTTTACCTTTAATTGGATGCTCGATACGTCGTTACACGCATCGGTGTTACGTCATTTCGCGAGTGTTGCGTACTTGACCCTTGGAAGTACTTCTAGGGGTCTCGACTGACCCCGATTGTTTCTAAATTATCTATGATTTATTTTGGCTGGTTTCGATTAATAACTCGAATTGGTCCAATAACTATCCGATCGATATACGAATTATTATGTAATTTTGAAAATACGGGAACCGAGAAGCTAATATTACAGTAAAAATATGTATAAATCACTGATTTATGAATTCATACGACATTTTTCGCTTCAAATAACTGGACACTCTTTCTGTATTATTAAATTTGAAGGTAAACATCATAACAGCTCGAGTATAAGAGACACCGTTTGCTTCAAGTACCTTAGGAAACAAACATTCTTTTCGTAATACAAACTCTTTACTCGTCACTGCAAAGATTTGTATTTGACCGTGAATGCTGGTCAAACATCGACCTGTATTTCTTAAATTTCACATTTTCATGGGGAAAGACGCCTAATGCTTGGCCTCCCAACGTGGTTTCTCTCCTCAAAAGTATGTTATCGATTCTATGGTATCGCAAGTAGAAAAATAAATACGTAGAAAAACTACGATTTCATCCTAATATCGATTAAAAAAAAAAACACGAGGGAACGCAACTAGCACTGATCACCGCGGGGTTTCGCATACCTTGCCGCGGAGGAATCGCCACGTGAATCGCAAGTCGGAGTATATATACACGCTACGCGCCTTCAAAGTCTCTAAAGTCGAATTCTCGTCGGGAAACGGTGCCGTCAACCGCGAAACGTTAACGAGGGTTGGTGATTTTTTTCCAGAGCTGCACGGAACCGCCAAGTTCCTGGTGCTCGACGAACGGCAGCTTCCGACACAGCGACTCCTCTCTGTACCCGGACTCCTTGAACCAGGAGACCTCGTCCGTAACTGGCTCCACCAAAGTGGAATTCATCATTGGTTCGCCTACCAGACGATTCAGGCAAAGCTCCGTCTGGCCTCATCGCTACTTCGACAGCATAGACTCAGCCGCGATGCTGCCAGAGAGTCTTTTGACCGACGAGTTCTCCCTTCGTCGTGGCGAGGCGCTCGCCGAGTGCGATTCCCTCGAGTGTCATCCGATTTCGAATGATAGTTGAATCGTCGAGCTTGCATCGTTCTGGCAGGTGTAGTAAAGAATCTTGGTACCTCGGTGGCCCGGTAATCATGCTAAGTGTTCACTTGAGAGTTTCGTTTTTAATCCTCTGCGGTCCAGATTTTCTGATTCGAGCGCAGTTTCGTCGAGCCTCGTTCAACGTGGAACTGGAAAGGGTTAACAGTTGCTATGACCGTTAAGTCTTTCGTGCCTTTATCTATGTACACCGAGTATTTACTTTGTTTAATGGATATCGGTCTGCTTTGTCAGAAATATAATGAAAGGAATATAATATAGATCAGTTTCACGACTAATTTATGTTTGGATTGAAACGTGATTAAAGGTAGACGTTTCATTTAATCTTGAAAAGGTAAGCATCCAGGTCATATTGTTACTGTAAAACAGATGGGCACGTAAGCTATTTCTAGCGAATGCCTACCTCCACTGTTTCAATATTTATGTTTGAATGTTATACTTGTCGGACACTTTTAATTTTTCATGATATGATTATCAGGAACATTTTATTGGCCAGAAAATAGACTTTTTGTCTCGGCAGCAGAACCAACTCTTTTTGTTATCAAAATTTCTAATAATTATATCCTGAAAAATAAGGCTGACTGGCTTTATCCGTATGTTAGAGAGTCATAATTTTTTCAAACGACAATAACTTGTTGCAATAAATAGAAGTCTCAATTGCAAGGTTCTTTATACGTAATACTTCGAATATACTTTCACAAATCCCAGTTAGTAAAGATTAATTAAAACTGCATACGGTATACGATAGATAATGAATGTGTAACCATTTATTTACATTCGCTAGGATTACGTTACGATACCATATACTATAGCTTTAAAAAAAAAACACTATAAAACGCACTAAAGAATTTTGCTGTCTATAGTAATTAAACTCTCAAGTGCACACAGCAGTGAAAAAGAATACTCGATACTCAAAGGTTAAATGTATTACATACATGCTTCGAACGTTCAATATCTCTGCACTGGAAAATTGGAACATACAGTTTTACGTTACTTAGTTTTCCGAACTTTACCAATAGAAGATATTCTAGATATTGGTTACTGCTTTGACCTTTGAGTGTTGATTGAAAGTTCTTTTAAATGGCCCACGACATACGTTTTTGTTCCATGAACTTTTGTTTTCTCCATTTTCTGTACCAACTCTCGTGACCTACTAGAAACGTTCGATAAAAAATTGATTTCTAGCCCTTTATCACCCAGGTGACATTTAGTTTCTGAAAACACGTTATAAAAGTCACAATTAATGACAGAATTAAATTAGAATTTGAAGTTATAGATCATAGTTACGTGGCTTCAGGAACACTGGGTTATAGAGAATTAAATCGTATATAGAAATTCGAACGCTGTCCTGAAAAATAAAATGCATGTAAGTATACGCTTTTTTTTTTAATCAGTTGACACAATATCATGGGGAACAGGAATATTACTCAAATCAATTAAATGACAAGTAGATTGAGGAAAAAAAAGAAACAAGAAGTAAGAAATACAAGGCAAGCATGAAAGTTTGCACTGTAGATTCTTTCCATCCTTCTATTTCGCAAAAACGATATAATAATATTCAGGCTTCGAGAAACTAATGTCAGGGATTAATAATCGAAGGTACCAAGGTTCTTTTACGAAAAGGGAAATCGACGATCGTAGAGAATGTATGTGAGAGTTATTTTTACAGTAATTTATCTTTAATCATTCTTTCACTTTCATTTATCACTTCAACTGCATTTTCGTCGTGCAGATTTATTGCGCGGAAATATATCAATCAGGTTTTAATTCATATACCTTGCGCTCTGTGGAATTGTGTCATATTATGCACCGTCATATTCGTCAACTGACAGCAAGAAATTAATTGCTGTCAAGTTTCAATAACTGAAGATGTGTTTGCACGCAGAAATTGAAAATTCCACTTGGTACACCGACGTGTGTTCATTTTCTGTGTCGAACGAGAGACGTAAGATGCATAAGATTCATACAAATTTTGTTGTTTCTCTTGTCGAAGTGCTAGTTTTTTAACCCTTTGACCAACACGTGAAATTTTAATAAAACGACGAAAAACAAATTATAACAATTTGCGTAACTTATCTTTCTTTATTTTTATTTATTTTTTTTATTTTGTGTGATGAACGCGAACACTTCCTGCAAATGATGAATTGTTTAAGCTTATCTGAGCCCAACAATCATCATACATTGTACTCGAGATGTATCAATTACGAAGTATTTTGACGTTCGAAAACAATATAGTTTTGGTATATTTCAGTCATTTATAAATTCCTAATTGTATACAAAATTTTATACCATTTCTTTATTAATTTTTGATGCAAGTGAAACAATCAATTTCATTTACAACTTTGTATGTGGTTATTCCTCGGAGTTGCGCGATTTTTTTTTGTATTTATTCCTGTAAACTTTCATTTAAGTGATCTGATAGATGTTTCTCTGAGAAATAATTTGAATTCCATAGTATATACAGTATCTGAATTATAAGTTAGGAAAATTATCCTTTCACGACACACTCTACTTGCTTATAAAATTTTTTAGCCCAGGAAGTATTCGCTGAACTCTGATCATGTTTACTAAAAAAATTTAGAAACTTTTTTTGAAAAGTATCTCTAGTGTTTTTCGAATTGACCACGTCGATCAATTTTTACAATTTGATGAAAAATACATTTTTTCACGTCATACGATTAACCTATATAGCATTTATTAACATGTAATTGTAGAACCAATTTCAAGGATGAGTTTGTTCGACAAACTTTCGATTACTTGATACACGTTCGGTAAACAATATTTGTTTCTTATTTCCAATCGACTGTCAATGAACTTTTTGAAGTGTACATTTTCAGTGCATTTTACATTTGTATCTTTATATCTTAAGACTGTACCTATCCACTGATACAAAAATTGTCATCGTCGAACTATCGTCGTGTAGATTTGTAAACGACGCAATGAAACTCTTTTTACCATTTATATCGATTAAGCTACTTCTATTAATCTTTTCGCGATAATGTTACCTTCGACAATTATTTCTTTTCTAATCGAAGGAGTAAAGTATCTTACATAGGTTCTCAGATATTTAAGCTGCAATATATTTAGATGAATTTTTTCGTTTATATTTTATTGATGAAATATTTGCAATTTTTTTCTCCTATAGTATTGAACTCGAAGAGTTTTTATTTATTATGTTTATTGTTGAATGAAGAATAGAAACTTTTAATTTGAAATCTGTATATAATAAGCTAAATTGTGCAATTTAACGCATGTGAATGTAAACTTTCTATTCACTTACAATAATAGATAAGAGGAAACTTATTTACATTTAATGTAAGTCTTTCAGCAATCTTTTTAAAAATAGTGCATTATGTACGAAATAGAAAATGGAAAGTTTAATTCACAAATTGTTCAATTGGTTGAAAAGGGAAAAAAATATTTTCTTTCTACAAATATTTATGAATGTCTACAATTCAAATTTTATTCATTTATTTCGTTAATTCGACTTGAGTTACTTTAAACAAAACCTAAATTACAATCGTGGTTCGGATTATGGGGAGCGAGAGAAATCATTGTTGAAGAAGTTTAAACAAAAATTATTATTGTCATAATGCTCGTCACATTGAAAATATGCAGCATTGTTATTGCTCTACTTGTTTTTTTATTTTACAATTTATCAGAATGATACGTCACACGCGAAAAGGTTGATAAGAATCAGCGTCGGATGATATTACGACAAGCACATTCCATGCTGCGTATTCAAAGAACCACATTCTCGTATTCCATGTAGCATTTGTACCTTTCGTTTGAACTTGCGTTTGTAATTAATATAATTTATTTATTGTGTGCGTGTGAAATGTGGGACTGTCGTCGAACGTTTGAAACCGAACATTGGTCGAATATTCGTCGAGAGAATGTCATTTTCCTTGAGACTTTATCTACAGGTAACGAAAAAGTGACGTGATCGTGCGAGAATGAACAAAGCACAGAAAAAAAAAAGAAGGTTGTTCGAATTGTACGTGTAGATTGTCTAGAAGCTTTTTTAGAATCACACATATCACGCGTGGCGACATCAAAGTCTATTGCCATCACTGACAATATGCTCGCTCACCATGCGAAAATACGAAATATTTGACATCTACAAATCTTGGAATTTTAAACGAGCGCTTTCTTAACACTTTAACTACCTGCCTATTTAGAAACAGTTTACAAATTAGAAGAGGATTTTCTACACTAGCATATAACAATCCAGGATGATATTAATATCTACATACTGTTACCAGATGTATCGAAAGCCTTGTCTGTTTTCTTAAATTGAGAATTCTATATAGACAACCAACGACACAGTAGGTAGATACTGAAATCAATAAGTCTTTAAATTGGCTCATGGTAGATAAAGTGTTAATCAAATTGGAGCAAGAATCGTAATCTGCAAAAATGCTCGTTATTGTGGGGATTGTTCAAAGTATTCGAAACGTTCCAAAATAAAGCTCTTCGATTCGTAAATTTTTCTAAAAAAGTGTGCAGTTGACGAAGTATCAGATATTTGAAAAAATATTACTATAAAAATGCAATATTTAAATTCGGTTTCTAATTGCTTTAATTTCCTAACGTCAAGTCTCGATAAAGAAAACACCAGGTCTTTGACTTTAATGAAGAATTTTAGAGAATTCTACAAAACTGTTCGCATAATTACTTAATATCCACGTAGATTCACAAGTCCTAACTATCGAAAGCAAATTGTGAAATTATTTCAGTGTAAAGGTTTTTTCTAGCACTGAGATTAATTCAGCAGTGGAAAGGTTAAAATTTCTCCGAGCTTTTCGAATCCTTGGAAGATCCAAACTGTTAACGATTGGAGGGCCGTCTTAACGTATGGGACCCCTGCAAATTAAGGGGGCCCGCGCCGATGCACGTGGAACCCATTTGTGGCACTATTATAATTATAAAAATGATAAATATCAATTTAGACGTGGCCGTCAACTTTTTTTTTGTTTATGATATCTAAACAAACCGAGGTGTCCATTGTGGACTGATTTGGCTAGGGTCTCATGATGCTGTTGAGACGGCTCTGTTAGAATGGTACACGTGCTTAATCGAATGACATGAACGGAGAAAGACGTTGAAAACAACGAGCATCGTTCTTTTTTTTTTTTTTTTTTATAATAAATATATTCGTTAGTGCACACCAGGTTGCGGGTTCACAAGATTCCATTAGTCGGAACGTAAAACTTACGGTGGCTCGACGAAACTACTACGTACCACACAGTTCCTTGCTTCAACCAATTTCGTTATTTATATAAAAAGTGTGAGGTAAAAGAGGGCGACTATCGCGAAACCATCGAGCGTACGTTTAATCACAGAGCTGAACCTGTGATCCTAGTTGTATAAATATTACTGCGCGAAACTATGTGATTAACTTAGCTGAACTGATAGGACTGACGGACTTTACTTATTATTTTAGTGCCTAATTAACGCGAACAGAAACCAAAACCGAAGCCGTTCGACTCGTGATGGTTTTTTGATCCTTCTTAGCCGCCGTCGCCGCCGCCCGCCGCCGACGTCTTTTGTTGTCGCGTTTTAACGAACGATCGTGAAAATAAAAAGAAACGCGACCGGGGAGGAGAAAGACAGAAAAAAAAAAGGAAGGAGAAACAATAATGCTCAGATACTAATTAATTGTTCGTGGGCGCGCAGCCGGCGGACTTCCGTGTGCCGACTGAAGGCTATTATTTTTATACCTTAATTAACGACTGTGAGAACGAAAGTGAAAGAGGAGTGTTGACCGGACTGCGCCGACGTTAGCAGCTTCCTTTTTCTCGATGATAGTTGTTTTTATCGTCGTTGTATTATACTTGACCCTAGCTTACTCGTTAGTCGGCCCGCGAGCCATCACGCTCGGGTCTCGTTTGACTATTGTTTTATTACCGACAACACCGTCATCATTTCTATATGTATATACGTACGGCATCGTGAATTATTTAAAGTTAGAATAATGTACAGAAAATCTGTGTAACGATATCTGCGATAATGTGATTCGATTAATAAATACGATATTACGTAGAGAGAGGGAGTTTCCTTTTTTAATTCTTATTCTTGCAGCAATTAAACAGGTTGGGCCATGTAAGTTTTTTGTACAAGTGCAATGGAGCATGTGCAATCGATAGTTGCATTGCGTTCTTAAAGGGAAATGAATGTTTCTTTTACGCGGGTTGATTCCTTCTGTCATCCTATGTAAAAAGGTGTAAGGGTAGATTGGTAAAAAAAAATGATTAGGTCGCGAGATAATTTAAAAATAATTGTCTACAATGAAGAGGATTTTCAAATGCAATGGAAATGGCGCCAAAAAGTGAACGTAGCGCCATCTTAGAGATAGTTCCTCAAGTTTGTCGCCGAATAGTTCCTCTTTTTCCACGCTAGATGGCGAAAACAAAAATTGATGTAGCAGGAATTTGCATTTTCTGTATTTTTAGCGGTCAAAAAATGATTTCCCAGTTGTATTATAATATTATATTGACTGCTTTATGCTTGCAAGTTGACTATTAGGCTACAAAAAGTAAAAAAAATATATTTTTTTTCCGTGTCTGTGGCGTCATCCATTAGTAGAAATTGGAACTAGTTCTCGACAAACTTGAACGTTTTCCCAATAGAGGCGCTGGCCAAAGGTCGAAATTTTAGTTCGTCCTACCCATCGCTAGATGGCGATACCGTCGCACACCCCATAAAATCGCAATATTCGGTTTTTGCACTATTTCTTCTATATTATTGCATGAAGATTTTTTTAAATCTTTAAAATATCTTTAAGTCTGTTATATTTAATATTTTAAAGATGTTAAAGATTTATATTTAAATCTTTTAAAATAATAAATTTAAGATTTATTAAATCAACGATTCTTTTAATTATGTTTACAAATCAAATATTTTCATCTTTCTTAAAGCGATTATGACATAATTATCTCTTTGTCATAATATAATGAATAAAACATCTCCTTGTTTATTTCATTTGATTTACAAGTAATGCAAAACGATTAAAAAATTCGTGTTGGTCAATTAGCCATTCATAAATATATTTTTAAATTTCAAATGAACATTTCTCAAGCTGAAATCATTTTATATCAAATCAGTATTTTTAATTTACTACCTTCAGGCTAGTAAAGTTTCCTTTATCCTTAATGCCAGTCACATCGTCATGCCATGTGCATTTGTGACGATTAAACATTTACTAAGGTTTTTTTGCATCATGGTTTATTAATCAAGTATGGCGAGTAATTATTCTACGAATTTAAGAAAACTTAAAATTCATGTTATCACTGCTTGAACATATACGTTAGATTGGTGCCGGAATTATTACATATATTTTACAGAAGTTCAATGCCATAATTAATATTTAAAAAGTGCCATTGACTTCTGCACAGTCATGCCAATAAACAATAAGCTTATTAATATCTGACGAGAAGAAATATTTGTGTTCAGATTGAATACATTGATTAAATATCCTTTCTTCATTTCCTTGATCAATTAGTCACTCGTTGATAGAGCTGTCTAGATATTCATGTGCATGTTAATCCGTAGGAAACAGTTTAGGCGATTAAAATGGATTGTATACACACCTGTCATCGATTCATTATACTCAAATTACAGCTCATGATAATTGCATACGCGAGCTCTGTAAGAGAGGATCTTCATTTAAAGATATTTTACGATTTTAATGATGCTGATAAGGTTATCCTAATTCAAACTACAGTCATAGTTAATGAAACGGTAGTTGAGATTGTCTGATAGTTGAAGCGTAAGGATGCAGATGACAGTGAAATCGTATCTGACAAGAAAATTGTTTTATTATTACAGAGACCAGATCAGCTAAGAACCAAGCAAATAGGAAGTCGGTTGCAAAACCCTAATAAAAGTGAAGACTATACTACATTCAGTACCGTAACTTAGATTTCAAAATTTACATATGTATGCACTCTGCAGTATGATTATATAAACATATTATTAAGGAATGCTCCTTTAGAAAAGTATATTATTAGAACAGAATGTCGTAGATTGGTTGTTGATCTAAGATCTTGATTAAACAATATATCTATTAAGTACGTATAAAGTACGTATCTATTGAGGATATCTAGATATTTATCACGTTTTAATTGGATTGAAAGACCAAATTTATTACCGAAAACACTTATTGAGATTAACTGATGACTGTAATTCATTTATAGAAAATTTCACTCTTTTGGCATAGAATGGGCTTTAGAAGTAATAGCTTCAGACAGAGTTTAGGAAGAATAGGAAAATTAAAGTCTGATAATCGATAATAATATTGATGGCGGTTGGTGGCACCACCAACCTGAAATATCAAACTAATCCTCCGCAAGTTGTTCGCAGAACAAAAGTCGCCCTATAGAAGGTTAAAAAATTCATAAAATCGATCCCACCTTTAAAACGTTTAAATATATATATATATTCGATACTTTTCGCTTTCTATTTGTCCCAATGTAAAACCAACGTTCGGAACGTTCACGTAAAAGTAAACCATGCGCGTTCGTGCCATAAATAACTACGTCCTATCTATGTAAATGAAAACTAGACGCAGTCAAAGATCGTCGAAGTTCATTAAATAATCCTAATTGTAATCCTAGGTTCAAGCTTCGACTGCGCAGCACCGATTTGCGTAAAATGATTTGGACGTTCACGTTATCGTTTATTGCGCTGTCGCGGAGTGATTAGCAACCCAGCGAGAATCGTCGCAGGTCAAATCACGGATCCCGGTTATTGTACGCCGGTGGACGAGGTCGTCGATTGAAATTCAGTTACCTTCACCTGTCGGGGGATCGTTGGAAGTCGAGGAACGAAACTTCCGGATATTTCATCGAAGGAGAGGGGAGGGGAAGGACCTTGCGGAGTAAATACCGAGAAACTCGTGATATGGCCGACAAGTGAGACCCGACGAGTACCAGCTTCGTAACGTTTACTTACTTACCTCTGCGTTCTTTCTGAATGACAGGATAGTTATGACGAGAAACGCGGAAAACGCGAGCAGGGGTGAAAATGAGGAAGAGGAATACGATCCTGCCGCGCACCGTCCCCCAGGACCCCTGACTTCGTAAGGATCGAAATTTTTCTTTAATGGTAGAAGCTTCGACGCGTTCCTTCGACGAGCGACGAACAACGACTGTGCGTTGCGGCCATAGTCATAAATAATGCAATACTCAATACATTCGCCATCGGCAGATATTTTACGTTTCTAATACCGAGTACTGACGAATAAAATTCTGAAGCTAGACGTCGCGAATTCTGTTTCGTTAGGGCGGGGATAAAAATGACAAAATATGTTTCGAAATATCAATGGTGTAAATACGTGGCGAATAAAATAAAAAGATTCTCATAATTTAGAATTGTGGACGACAGAATTTTCACGTGGAGAATTAATACACAAATCAAAAAATAATGGATAAAAATTCAAAAAAAAAAAAAATAATGGATAAAAATACACAAATTATTGAGTACGTTCGGAAAAGATGAGATTGTACACATAAAGATAAAGCGACATTCAGGATGGGTAGATTGCAAGAAAGATAGGATTGTATATATGAGCAAGATAAATGAAACAAATGGTGCGAGAAGAACTGCGCGTAGAGATAGTTACATTATTAATTCAATTTCAGGGACTTCGCCGTACTCATGCATCTATTGAAGACCTCCATTGGAAATGGAATACTTTTCTTGCCTAACGGATTCAGGAGAACAGGCTACGTAATGTCAATAATCTGCAGTGTCTTTATAGGCTTGACGTGCACCCACACAGTCGTGGTGTTGGTGGGTAACTTATACTTTAGTATTGCTAATAATTGCAGACTTGTGGGACAATTAAGTTAAACTGATACCTCTAATGGTTGCTTCGTGAGAAATAATTACGTACTCGAGAATATACTAAATTATTTACGAGGGTCGTTCAGATAGTAAGTTTAACGGTCTAATTACGCTGTGAAAGAGTGGTCAAAACACAAAAACAAGATCATTTAAAAAATATTTGTAGACCAGAGTCTACAGCACATGAAACTGATCGAAATAGATGAGAGAACATGTTCCTAAAATTTTGTAGTTCTACCTTCTCACCAAGACCAACGCTAACAATCGTTAAACTTACTTTCCGTACGACCCTCGTATACTGAATTAATTAGCACTTTGTTCTACTGAAAATCAGCTTGACTTTTTCCATAGTATCCCATGCACATTAGCTTAGAGTGACTGCACCGAAGATCACGTGGGATAGCGTCTGAAAACGAGTTCTCTGAATGCAGGTGCGATGCGCTCAGGTGTTATGCAGGCGCAATCGCATACCGATGCTGGATTTCGCCCAAACGGCGGAGGTCTCGTTCCAAAGTGGTCCCCGATGGATTCGAAAGTATGGGAAAACGTTTGGCGTTTTCATCAACATTTTCGTCTGTTTTGTACACTTCCAAGGTGCCGTCATATACATACTTTACGTTGCCACCTCCTTTCAGCAAGTAAGAAACGAGTCGTAAGGTCCTTTTCCCATTGACGGATATTCAGGCTGAGGTCAGGCGCGATTTTTCAATGGCTATCGACAGTATCAACGAAACCAGAGATAATTAACCGCCCAGTATATTCCTAATTAGCGTCCTTCATTCTGTTACCGCGAACGAAATAATTGTAAGTTTAGACACGAAATTTAAAACACTATTTAAGGCGTCACTTTAGAAGAAATCGATTAAAAGCTTGCGAACCTCATAGATGATTTAACATTTGCAATGAATTTCGACAAAAACAAACTCCTAATTACAAAATATAGCCTCGTATTTCTTCGATCGAGTGTTTTTTTACTTCGGTTCATCGATGCATATCGAAAGAACGTCTGCATGGCCACAGTCGTATTATCGCTGCATTTACGAAACCACTTTCGGAATACATAATAAGTTTCTTTTATTTCTTTCAGCCACGCTCGTTGCTTTTGTACACCGCATGTTTGAATATTATCATATGAACGCTATGCTTTAACTCCTCCTCAAATGACTTCCAAACATCATTCAATCCTCAATTGCTTCAATCTTCACCGTATTCTTTTTTTCCATGGTCTCATTGCTTTAAAAACTTGTTAATTTATTCACATTTCACGAAACGCAGCAAACTGAAACAAACTTATAATTTGCATCGTTTTATCGCGTTGTTTAGGCCTATTTCGACTTATTCTGTTCTGCAGCTCGAGCTTCAGCTCATTGCTACTTAGTTCTATAGACAGATAAAATTGTTTTCTGTATTTCAGAACAGAGAAATTTACATCCTTAAATTTATTACTCTTTCCCTCGTCGTTGCATGATTTCATTTGGGTCATTTGGCTGGTGGATCAACTAACCTTACCATCTCTGCCACGAGGAGACAGACCCTCTACTCTCTTTAATAATGAACTCTCCTTTATTCGTTAGCTTATATTTCATTTCTTCTTCTATCTTCTATCTTCTTTCATTTTTCTTGTTTTTCGTTTTCCATCCGATCAGTGCGATGTCCGTTCAACAACCTTCTCTTCCAGGTGATCGAGTTCTTTTCTGGGTTCGAAATGGACGCGCGAATCTACATAGCCGCCTTGTTCCCTTTCGTCTGCGGACTCGGCTTCGTGCCAAACCTGGCGTACCTGGCACCTTTTTCCATAATCGGTTTTCTATTCATGTTCGTCGGCATTTGCGTCACCCTTTACTATCTGCTGGACAATTTCCCCGATCCTGGAAGGCTCGAAACGTTCACGGACGTGTTGCATGTGCCGATGTATTGCAACTTGATGCTGTACGCTCTGCACAACGTGACCATGTACATGCCGTTGGAGAACACGATGAAGAACCCGCACCACCTGCCGCGGCTGATAACGTTCAACATGTTGCTTAATACCTGCCTGTACACAGCGTTCGGATTTTTGGGGTACAACAAGTACATGCTCGATACCTGCGACACTGTGATCAAGAATCTCCCGATCGAGGAAACGTGAGTCGATTTAAATATGTATTTCATATTCTTGCTGTAAGGATTAGAAGACGAGACCTTTGTTGTTTCGCGTGGTCGTAGCGCGATCGAGGCTCGAATCAATCCGGGTCATACCAGCGAGTCCTGTGGATGATCCAAATCAAAAAGTTGAAAAGTTTTAACAAATTAATGCTTGATTTCTGAGGAAACGTAGTGTAGATCGTTGTTCAGTAGGGAATGTCTGTCAACGAGTTAGTATATTTTGTTTACATTTCGTTTAAGTTGTCACGTTCATGAAACTGACAAGTAGATAAATTCATCGATACGTAATATATCGAGCTTTAGACGACCTTAAGCAAAAAAATGCGTCATACTATCGGAAAACCGGAAGCGTATCGTGATTCACGAACCTTGACACATAAATCCATATCGAAGTGGTAACTTTAATATGTTTTTCACCGCTACGAATAAATTAAAATCCTTTTACAATCTCAAGTACCGCTGGTATAATTGCTCTGTTATCGATTGTCGGCTTGTCATTGCAAACTTTATTTTTTGAAACATGAAGTGATATGTACTATTACAAATTTTTTGTTTATCCTTAAACTATACATTATTACAAACTCGATTTTTTTTAATGCGACGAGTTGTATAGTTTTTGATTTCTGCTATCTAATGCCAAGACACTTGTAAGAAGCATTCGTACAGTATCCAATTTCAAATAAATGGTTCCTGCACGAATATATGTGATAATATTCTTGCATGCGATGTTACTATGGCTTTTTCCTTTTAAAAAACTGTTTTACACGAATGTCGGACACGTTGTAAGGTATTGGTTTAAAATGACTTTGATGGAATAGAACATAGGGAAACATTGTCCACCGATTATCCTGTTCTAATGACTGACGCGTCATGCAGATTATCTTTTACATTACAACAGAGACAAACGTGTTGTCTTACAATTAGAGATGATAGATGGGGCGATGTTTACTTTTACGTAATGCGAAAATAGCTGTAACAATGAAAGTCATTTTATGGCGATACAGAAAATCTAATCGCTAAGTGAAAAAGAAATGTGTGTAAATTAATTTTAAATGTACTATCATGTCACGCGATGGGTTAGGTTGGCGTTGAAACTAAAACATACACATGTTTACTAATATAATGAAATTGATTTAATTGTAATAACGATACTCTTACTAAAAAAATGTGAAATCGAAAGCGATTTGATTTTTTTATTTTTTTGAAAGAGGTTCAGAAAACTAAGTAGTAACGAATGTGTTTTTTAAAATTGACGAATGATAAACAAGGTTGTATCACTTAAAGACTTAGATAGGATTTCTAGTACGTCTATTTGACGAATGCGCCACTGGTATTTAGTAAACGTTATTATCCAGACAAGATTCTGTGCTATAACAAATATTGTCTCTACTGGTGTAAAGCACTTAACGCACAATTCCATTCCTGACAGCAGCAGATAATCAAACAGAGAATTTTCTTAGACGTCAAACATTCTCGAGATAACTGAATCTTTCAATTAAAAACGAACAGATGCTCGTTATATGTAATTTTTCTCAATTGCTATGTGCGCACATATTTATTGCATCTGGAAAACGAAAAATCATTGAAATCTAAAGGGAACACTTTTTTTTTATGTTTGAATAATCTTTCTATTAACTGATATGTCGAAAAGTAATTAAACGGAGTGGTCACCGCGTGGTGGTACGTCAAATTATCGTGTTTATAAATTTTCTAATCTTTCACCAAGTAGCTAGATATTATTAACATCGATACCGATATTATTGCTATTTAGATAAATTTTATCTATTTAATTGATAATTGAATGTAAGTAATCTACGGGATCATTATCAGACATCTATACTTTCTAAATTAGAAGAATTCATAATTATGAAAATATTCTAGCGATATTATAGAATTGTTAGCGAATATTTAAAATTATTACCTGAATTTTTATTTCGGTACTTTTGTTAAAAATAAAATATTTTTTTTTTTTTTTATATAAATGAGGAAGACCTTTTTTAGTAATTATAATTGAACTCATTTTTTGAATGGCATACGTAGAGAAAAACTGTTTGTCAGTTCTAACAAAGTAATACATAGTTCTTAAAATATTATTGAATAATTTTTATTAGACTTTCTATTACTGAAACTTTATTGTTAACAAAAAAATGTGTCCAAAGTTTTCCATTGAGAGATAATATTACAATACTGGAAAATACCATGTTATGTAGTATTTTGAACAGAGTAGTTAATGCAGGATAAAATTTTATTATGCTATGAAAGCCTTCCGTATCATTGGATTTATACACCAATGAAAGTCGAAGTTAATATTTCCATTGAAGCTGATAAATCTATCGAAGTACACTCTGTAACAAAATTAAGTATAGATATCCTGTATTCAGTCCCAAATATTTAAATGTGGATCACCCCATACAGTACATAATATCGATGGTACTTATCTGAAATAATCGAATTATTTATTATGAAAATTAATTATTCGTTATCTGACCAAATGCTTTGCTTCTAATTTAGTTTTAGTCGAAGTAACTGACCATACTACATACGTACGTATAAAATATCAAAAAGACCTATTATGTTAACATGTTACCTCATATTGTAAACAGATGAATTCCACTGAGAATCATCTACGTGTTTAAATTCCATAAATTCTTATCTCGATTTACCGAATGTAAAATTTGCTGGACAAATTGTAAATACCTTTGGAGATATGAAAACAAAAAAATTACTACAAAGTTTGTTTATCATTGGAGATAAATAAATCTCAGAGGTGGTGTTACAATCCGAAAATAGTTGAGAAACATGGGTTTACAGAACGTCAAGTAGATGGAATCAACAAGTCTCTACGAGTATAGTCGTTATCGATTAATATTGTTGGATTAAGGAGTTTAATTAACAACATTCTTTTACAGATTACGGAGATTCAATTGATCCGTTGCATTTATACAAGTATACCACGGGCATGATTTTTATTATTCTTGTTATTTATTGCACCTCTACTACATATTCGAGCAAACGAGTGATATATGATAGAGCTTAGAAACGAATTGCTCAGCATCGACAGACGATAGCATGCTACTGTAAGCTCCCATCGACGATAATAATACTTCTGCCAAATACCTTTTTTATTCTGTTTACGTTTTCGGTAAATACCTGAAAAGGCTTTTTGTAATATCGTGAAAGATACTCAGATGCAATCAGACACTTCGATAGTCGTTTTATTACTTACATATTATAATTCTACGAGGCAATAACTGCTGTATTAATCAGAATGGTTTCAATTGAACTGTTATCATTTATGGGAACATTGACTAAGCAGTCAATGGAATTCTACGAATCGATAAAAGCTTAGAAATTCAATGAAAAATGATCAGAATGGTTGCAAATTAAAAATTAATCAAAGTACGATGACGCTCTAAGCATTTCATTTCAGAAAGATTATGACAATTTAAATTTATAGTACTCTTAAAGTAATATGTTTGTGAGACGTGAGACGCACACGATGACACACGTGATAATGGCAATGAATAGCATAGCAAAGATATAGTTCATGATTGTATCGGGTGATCGAAATGATATGCCATCATTGAAAACAATCTTCAAATTTGCGATACTCTTGAGCTGCGTCTAATTTGGAAATAATGTCGATTTACCCGTCATTGATCCTGTCCAGTGATCTGATATCTAGGCCGTGTGCATGCGTCCCTCGAGAATTTTAGTATCACTGTTTACACGGTCTCGACGGTGCTTCTTATCGTGCAAACCTCATTATCTAGTGCCTCTTGATTATTTGTATACACGTGTACATTCCGTTGGACGCTTTTCACTTTCGGTGCAATCGGTTTAATCGGTTTGATTAAAAAATCAATTCGCCTACGTCGGTCCTTATCGGTGAATAGTGTTTCAGCATGCCGGAGTGAACAAATGACGGTTTTAGTTTTGAAACGAGGTACCTTTCAAAATAAGAGTCCGGGCTTGCCATTAAAACTCAAGGGATTATTTTACAGCCTTTCGAGTCACGAACGATTGCATAAAGAAGATCGTAAATTTTCCTTTGTTACTTCAATTCTTTACTGTAAGCATGTTAAACTTCATTCCCATCTCTTTCCTAGTTCGACAATTATAATTCATTAAAGAAAATTTAGCAATATATTAAAAATCCTTTTACGAAACATATTCAACTTTCGGAAAAATCCCAAGCGAATACGACTCCATACGCTCCTAATCAATATGCGCTAGTCGTTAATCCCTTTTTGTGCTATAGTCCAATATTTGGAAACGTGAGATACGTTTTTTAGGCTTGTCAACACGGCGTGTGTATAAAAGGAGGGGCATTTAAGACAGGTCGTCTGGATAACTCGATTATTATTAAAAATAGAAATAATGTTCGAGACATTAATTTTATGGAGAAATCGTCGCCTGTAGTTCCTGGTTTTCAGGGGATAGGCTTAAGAGCATTTTAGAACGCAATTAACGTGGGACTTGAAAATGAGTCGCGATTTCTAAGCGCCTGACAATAAAAATACATCGATCAATTTAACATTAAATGATAATCGAAACTTCTGGACAGAATCTGTATCCGATCTTTTGTCACGTGGCGAATGATGTTTGATTAAAATTCAGTATCGTGTTAGATGGCAAAGTGGTTGACCTTATCATTCTTCCTTCGATTTAACATTGCATTTAATTTGAATTACGTGTCAAATCGTACATTCTTCTGTTCATTACGGTCATAATTGATTTCACCGAAATGATTCATCAATTTCACTGATAATGCAAATAAAGGAATTCCTCTCTGGTCACAGTCAAAGGTAAAAAATGTTCGATATGCACACGCTTTACAACATAGTATCATTAAGGAGTATAATCCCGAGTCCCAAGTCCTCGCTTAGACTCATCGATGGTTATTGTCATTTTTTCTAAATGATCAGTAAACTTGGTTAAAATATATTTTTTTAAACACAGACTGGTACTATTAAAATAATAGTTCCCTGTGTCTGAAAACAACCTTTTTAATTACCAGATAATATATTTGTATCTTACATTAATTTTTTTTTTTTAAATTGTATATAAATTAAAAATTTTTAATGATTTCTTCTCTGTGTTCTATATTATTGTTACTTCTGTTTCAGGCTCGCCCAAACCATTAAAATAGTCATTAGTTTGGCTGTCTTTTTCTCGTTTGGGTTAGCTTATTACGTGCCAATGTCAATATTGTGGCCGATGATCGAGTCGAAATTTAAGACTCCCAGTTATGGCAAAGTTGCGTTTCAGTTCAGTGGAATACTTCTGACGAGTAAGTAGAATAAAAACTACAAGTTTTATAAAATCAAGCGAAGTATGTTTTACTTTTCTAAACGTGTACTTCCGTTCTTCTCGACTGTCAAATAATATTGTGGTCTTTGAATAATTTCTATCTTTAAACTGCCATGATAACAAAATATTCTAAATATTTATATGTAATATGCCAATAATTAAAAGTATACGTCCCATTCTTATTGTTTTTATTTCTTTATTTGTTCACAGCACTATTAGCCATCACTATCCCTAACATGATTCCTCTTCTTGGACTACTGACAGCATTAAGCGTAACCACAGTGATGTTATTAATTCCCGTACTGATAGAAACTGCAACAAAATGGCACGAGGCTACGCGGCTTCTTTTAGCGAAGAACATAAGCATATTCCTCATTTGGATGCTCCTGTTGGTAAGTATCAAAAGTAAATGATGCAAATAACGTAACATAAGCACTTTCAGCATTTCCTGAACATTTCACATCATTTTATAAACCTCTATCTCTGCGATCTTTTCTCACCTTTTTGGGAAAGTCATCATACCATCGCTATAAAACTTCTGTAGTTTTTTTTTTTTTTATTAAATATAAACACAATATGCGACACGTACTTATGGAATGAAATAATAGATAAATATACGTCTGCGTGTACAAATCATATATCACGTGTGTATTAGGGCTTTTTTATTGTACATGGAACTCGAACATTATCGTTTTAATAACGAGATACCAGTATAAAGCGTTGACAGAGAATGCCAATCTTCAGATTTTTAGGCGATTGCTGTGTGAACTATGGTATGGAATTTTATCAGTTTACCAATAGATATCCTTAGGGAACTTACAACAGATCCGTTGTGAAATATTGATTACGATGAAAAAAGGAGATAGTAGATTTTAATTTTGGTAATACGCACTTTGTCGGTGTCTATTTACAGCGTCGGAAATAAACCATATCAACTTTGGGAAAGCTGTATATTATTCTTCAATGTTTCATTCTTGAGTCGTAAGTTATCAGCAGTCTCTTTTATTGCTTTCGTGCACTTAACGTAACTCGCGCGTCAATTTAACTGTCGTGAAAAATGTTAAGTATTCTGTAACACGTGCCTCGATTACCCATTTCCTCGCGTAAAATGTAAAAGGAAGTATGAAACTCGATTCGTAATTTAGTTTTACGTAAATACTACCTAATGTTTTTATTGCCCAGATCAATTTTAATGTTACAATCCTGTTTTATTTACAATGAAATCGAAAGTATTCTTTGTAAAATATATCTACTAAAGGAGAAATGTACTTTTTTTGTTGTTCTTCTTTTGACATTCATTAAAATAAGGAATACTGTGAAGAAAAACTGATCTCAACCGATTAAAATTTCTTTCTTTATTTCTCGACAGATTTTTGGAGCAATTGAGAGTACGTGGTCCATCATTAGAGAATACAATGGCGTGAAAGAGAAAGGGTGTTGATTAGCAGTCAATTACTGAAAATGAACATTTTCCTGAACTTCATGGAATCTCAATAAATTTTATAAGTCGGTAGATTTGTACTTTTTAGTAATTACGAAATATACATACCACTCTAAGTTTCATTTGTAAATTTAAGAATATCGTGTAAGTTATATTTTAGCGTAAAACTGAATAATTTAAGAAGATGGTTGCAGAGTCCGAACATTAAACCGCAAGGTAAGACGTACACGAAGACTTGGGCAACGTTGCTTACATTATATCATTTTCTTGTCGACTAGAATGAATGTGGAAGTAAAAATACAATAACTTTTCGAACAACTTGCTTTAATTTATTTACAGCGATTGATTTCAAATTGTTTTATACACAGCAACGGAATAGGATACGATTATATTGCAATTGCATCAGCGCAAAGAGAAGACCTTTAATTCGCGGATGTACAAATTCTTGTGTAAATGAGGTAACATCAAGATATATTCTATAAAACCATGTAACATTCGTTCAGTAGAATTGCCAGAGGTAACTTATATGGTTTATCGGTTCCGTATGAATAATTTAATATGCTAAGTGTGAATGGTTGAATAGTCATGAAAACAGTTCTTGGTATAGTGGCGATTTTGATCGAAGATTAATGAGAAAATAATTAATTTCTTTTTTAATCACAAGGATTGTATTATAATAAAAATTTATGGACAAAAGTAGTAGTACTAAAACTAGTTATGTTATTTTTTAAATCGAGTTAAGAGACAAATTTCCGTTCAAATTTCAACTTGTCTTAAATGTAATCTATTCGCATAGTTTCAGAATGATTTTCAATTATCCACATGTAATTAAAACGAGTTCACCTAAGCTTGAATTCGGTATTAATTTTATCACGAGGGTCTCGCTAATCTATCGATAACATTCGGATGAATAGACTATTAGGAGTCCAAAAATTCTTAATTCAATTAGTAACGGCCATACCGGCACGCGTGCTGCGTCGCTTTCAAGTTCAATTAGCTAGGTTTCAATTTCTCAGCTGCCGGTCGCTCGAGCTAGGGATACATAAACAGTGATACTTTTCATAGCTTACTCTCTACTTTCGACACGTTTCTCCATGGATCTCAATAACAGTTTAATCATCAGCCATGTAACCCAAATCATGTAACTTCAGTCGCGAATGATGTCGTTCGCGATCCATCCGTTTGCACCACTTACGCAACGCTGGAGACCGGCATCGGAGCGAGGCGTCGGTGCCAGCATCGGGAAAAAGAGCGATCGCCAGGGAAAAGAGCTCAGGAGATCACCAGGTATCTGGAGAGGGTAGATATCGTGGAGGGAACGTTGCGATGCACAGAGCGAACCGGATGGAACAGAGGGAGACAGAACGAAGGTGAAAGGGAGCAGGCGAAATGCAGACGGTGCGAAATCCGCTGAACCAGAGTCGATCGCGGTCGCGTTGGCCCTGTCTTCGCGCGTTCGTCGCGATGCTAAGGACGACTCGAGACAGTCTTCGGAACCACGACCGATAGAACCCATTACGAGAACGGCCTCTATCTCCCCTCCCACGCGTCGCGACGTCGCTCCTAGTGGAACGCCTGGCTGTATCGCGCCTATACACTCAGGTTGTATATATACCTGTGTAACGCCGAAAAAACTTGGCCAGTCGTGTGCGACGTCTGTCACCGTTCCTCGCGGATTTTCCTCGACGCTCTCCGCTGAAGCGGTTTCACGACCGAATCGTCATCCGCGTTATCGACTCGTGATTTGAAAAATTTCTCGAAACAGATTCCTGAAGAATTAAACCACATTATCGTTGAAGAACGAAGCTGAAGAGGAAATTCGAAGGTAGTTTTTGGTGAGGTACCGCTACGATTAAGTAAATATCTGATCGAGTGCTCGAAGATCGGGGAACCTGGAATAGTTGTAAATCTCCGAAGAGTCGAAAGTTGAAATTGAAAGTTTCGGAGCATCGAGATCGTCCGCGATTGGAAGAGATCCTGAAGTCCGTCCACAGTGACAAGACAAGAAGGATTCGATCATATTAACCGAGTCGTTCGTCAGAGATCGATGTGCTTGAGCTTCGACATTCTTGTGGACTGCACGTCCCGGGAATTCCCGTAGGAATATCGATAAATTCCCGGTTCGTTGGCGTTCTGGGTCTCGGTACGCGGATCGGACAGTTCTGCTGGCGAGCGCGAAAAAGCGCGGTCGTTCGATTCCACGACCGGGCAAAGTTTATCGTCGCCGTGGCATCGCATCTCAATTATCAGCGATAAGAAATATCCCCGTGGACTATCGAGCGATCCCGATCGAAGAGACAGAAGCCCGTATCGTTGTGCAATTTATTTGTGCGTGGGATTTATTCAGCGGTGTATCGTAGGCCAATAAATCATACCGCATTGACATTGGCCGAGGCTGCTTCGAGATCGGCTGATAAATCATTATCTCTTCGCAATATACTACCGGACTCTAGAAAAAGATAAAAGTACCGAAGACGACGGGTGGATCGGTAGTTCGGATCGATCGAAGGAACGGATTGGAAGGGGGATCTACGGAGGATAATGTGAATAGAGAATCGGCAGCGGATCGAACTCCATTCTTTTCACCGCACGTGACAAACCGCGGGAACGAGGAAATCGCCGACGGATTTTTTCTTCTTCTTTTTCTCTCGAGCCTGGAATCAGCCGTCAAAGGTGCACGTGAGTATATTTATGCATAGTGTATACGAAGTATGAATGCTCGCCAGCGATCAACATCGAGCCGCGAATAGTTTCATGTTCCTCGTTACGCAACCGGTTGGACATTCGATGGAAAACTATGGCAAAATTTCGCGAATAGTCGTGCTCGTCTATCGCTATCGATTTCGGTAATCAGGAAGACCGACTCCCTGCGTGGAATTTTATATGTCTCTTGAAGTTTCAATGATAACGCGTCGGATAGATAACGGCGTTGCGATACCTGCAGCGGCATGAAAACTTCGGTCATAAACTGTGATGCATGCGCGTGCACGATGCTCGCGGAAATAAATACTCGCGTGCGCTCTTGAGCAGTGACAAGGGAAACATTGTTTACTTGGAATCGATTGTTTTGATGTTATTGAACCGAGGTATCTCAAAATTGAGAAAGTTGGGGATAGATGATAGCTTCTTAGTTTTTGGGTGGCGGTTTCAAGTGTTGCTTCAAGAATGATAGCAATCAAGTTTCATAATTTGAAATATAATAATAAGTAAGAAAATTAAAATATATTAACGGTGTATAAATACATGTCCATAAATGTGTATAATTAAAAGGTGAAATATTTACGAATTAGGTATCAAACGCAATGTGTTAATATTATGTTTCGTTTCGATTATACACATTTATGGACTTCAATTTGTATATCATTATTATTTTTTAATTTTCTTATTTTTTATTATATTGCAAATTTTGATATTATATTATATTTGATATTATATATATCGATGGAAAGGAAAATGGAGAGTAAATACAGGAAAGTCGTTTATAAATTATAGAATTCGTAAGAAATCAAGCGTATTTTAACATCTGTCTAATAAATAAAATTTAATGAAAGACTAACAGTACAGAAATATGAAGAAACTACGATAAAAATAAAACTGTTCTTATCGTTAAGAGTCAGATAGGTTATAGAACGTAAAAATTGTTTGTTGTGACTAGCTAGCGTTGATTAACTTAAAATTTTCCATGCAAACCAGTGAACGATATCTATTTCCTCATTTCTCTCTTAGTTAAGGATCAGAATAAATTCATTTTTGAGTCAGCTTTAATTTTAAAGTATACACTTTCGTTAAAATTTCTTTTTAAATTGCTATTCCGTTTTCAAGTAAGAGAATGGAAGACAAATGTTATCATTTGAATGCAAATTTCAACGGTATCAATTATGAATTCCAAAGTAGTGAATATCGAATGTTAGAAATGACTAAGTACTGTTAAATACTGTAATTTGAATTGAATGAATAATTTATCTTACTTCAAAATTCGATTATTCATTTTACATTGGTGGAGTACATTCGAGAAGTAAAAGTACTTGCATTAGCGTATCACCTCTAAACAGAGAATACTATTTTAAACACTTTCATTATCTTATTTGCCACATTTACTACACGATAAAAACAAATAATGTAAACTGTACGATTTCCAACGAAGACGTCTCGTACCTCTACGAAAGAAGTTTTTCTTCCATTTTCAACTATTTTTCAGACAAAGAAACTCAACCTAGAAATTTGTTTAAACGTTATTACGGCCGCGCTTATCACCTACGCGAAACTCTGACATTAACGACTCCCCGGTGAGAAACTATTTTCCGTAATTTACTGTCATCGGTGTAGATACTGTTAAAACGTTACAAATCATTCGTATATGGTTGTCGAGGTAATTGTGCGTCCTAAGAAACGATACGGATTCCGTGGTGGAAAATGGCATGTGCCAAGGTCCGTTCTAAAAGTCGCATCGTCAATGGCACCAAGTTGTTATCGCGCACGCCACTTCGGCGGAGCCCCTTCGAGATATCGGTCGCGTGGCTGTCGATTGCACCGGAAATCGGAGCTATTGACACCCTCCCTACCAGCCATGTTAACCTTTTTATTAAAAAATTATTAAAAAGTTACAGGGAAAATTGCTTGGCGATATTCGTATTGATTTATGGCATTGATTTAATGTTTTGAAAATGATTGAGTTTTCAGTTTATTTTTATTAAAAATATGTACAATAATTTGCATTACGAAGTTTTTATACGTGTTGAAAATATCAGTCACATCTGGTTTGTGAATTTGTCTGAGGAATATTTCGAGGAAGTTATAATTTTCTGTTAATTTTATTGTAAATTAAAATATATGTAATAGAATTGTGTATAATTGTATATATTACTTTGAGTTGTATTCCTCTGAAAAAGGTTAACGTGATTGAGACATTAGTGCCATTCATATACAAATAACATAGCGGTCAACATTTCAACATCACTTTAAAAAGCTCGGAACAAATGAAGACTTGTTTAAGACATTAAAAAAATAACATGCCGTTTTAAAAATTAAACGCAACTGAAACATTAGTGTCATTCATAGACAAATAACGCGGTAGTTATTACTTTCAAAGAATTCTTTAAAAACTCTGAACAAATACAGTTATGACGAAATTAGATTAGGCGAAGGTTATAGATACACTGTTACGTACAAACATTGTTTCAAGTATTTTCATGGCAACATTGAAGGCATATCTTTCGACGTAGTAATTGTAAACGAAAATTCTTTTCGTTAAAATTATTCTTGCTTTTGTTGCATTAAATTGATATACTTTCCACTAGTATTTCTGTTAATTTATTCTCTGATTCCTCATTACACAAATATTATAATCATTACCTAACTTTAGCTCGCATTTCATAGGCTATAACACTTTCATCTACTCCCGATCTCCGGTCGAATCTTTAGGAATTAATTATCTTCATTTTCAAATAAACCATTCTTTCTTGTTACTAATTGCTTTCAAAATTACTACGCTTAATTATTAGCGAAACTTCTGATCAGCTAATTTTTCTTTGATTAATTCGTGTGAAACACAATGGTACCGATGCATTGCTGTAAACACCATTAGCTGCAAAGAAATTGATGTCTGTGAAACGTTTAGTATCCTGGCTCTACCTTCGTCGTCATCATTAATCTTAA